AAGAGTGTGATGACCATTACCCTATAGACATGTCTGTAAAAGGGCAGAGTCACCCCTATGCCTCACCCTACTTTCCAGCGGGGGGCGGGGGGAGGTGTCAATATGAAGGGCATAAATTTGTTTCTTTCTTTCTGCTTTTCTTTTCTTTCTGTATTTTTTAAGTAAAGTAATTTGGGCACAGGGGCTGCTTGCATTTACCTGATTTTGAATTTGTTTCAATCCAGCTTTGGGGTTATTGTTTGTTTTGCAGCTGTCATTCTAGCTTCTATTATATTCTATTTCAAAACCAGCATTTTAGATCATTATCTTTTAGATGCTAGTCGTATGGGGAAGCACCTGCTATAAATTGCTGGAGAACAAAATTTTTAGTTTCTATACCAACTACTATTTTTTTTACATTAAATGGAAATAGTGCTTAGCTTCAGTTTTCTTCTTAACTTTTCAGTCTATATGAATCTCCAGAAAACCAGTGTTTGACAGGGAGGTTATATGCAAAACACAAAGGTTAGAAAGTATGTGAATTATCCATACATATGGTCTGGGGCTTGGGTATTACCAAGACTTGGAAATCTGGAGTATTTCATCTTGATTATAAAGCCCTGTGGAATGCTCGGGTGTCTCTCCACATGGTGGGAGAGATGGGAGAAAACTGGCAGAGGCTCTCCCTTCCCACCCAGTTTAACTGATTGAGACAGGGCAATTTTGTTGGAAAAGTCTGTTGGCAATCTGTAGGTCTCAGCTTGCTCCTCTATGCCTTGCTGAGAGAAAGAGCTGTTGGAAGAGAATCAAGGCATGAAACTTTTGCTGCTCTAGTTTAAAGCTTATGAAAGCAAATGATCTCCAGGGCACTAATCCTTTCACCTTGGTAAACATGCAACAAATCTACAGGAAAAGAAAGCCGAAAGACATCCCATTTCTCCTCCTGCAGCAACCCCGATGCTACCTGTAGACTCCAGACTTCTAATAGGTGTCTCCTGAGTCTCCACAGGAAGAGAAACATCCGAAGACAAAAAAGACAGAAGTTTGAGGGTAAAAAAAAAAAAAATCACAAATTCCCATAAAGCTCGAAGTTACTCTGACAAGAAGCCCTGTGTTACTCCTTTGTCTTTACCGCACAGATAAAGATAGTTTGACAGAAATCAACATGGGTTTAATAGTCATTTTGCTTTATTTTTAAACTCACAACAGGATGTCAGGTTTTGTGTTGTCTCACTTTTTAATCAACCCCATTCTTTCCTATTTACTGGCACAAACTCCCTCAGCAACTTGCTGTGTCAGGGAGTGACTTTGAGAGGCAATCTATTAAACTCAAACTGAAGGATTTTTTTCCCCTGTAGATCTGTTTACCGATTTTAATTATTGATTGGAAATTGTTTGCAATGGATAAAAATACTCGCCGAAGGTAGGGAATGAAAACATAAACACACACCCAAACCTAAAGATTTTTTTTTTCCCTGAGTCATTTTAAAATATCGGGATGGCTTGTCAGTGTATTTGAGGACATTTGGCAATCTGCACCAGTGCTTTCATCTCCGGAAATCTAATATCGGGTCAAACTAGTGGTTTTATCAATCCCTTATCAGCAAACAAGAGCATGAAAAATAGCATTTGATATATTGTCCCTAGAGAAAATGGTGAGGAAACCTAGCACCAAATTACAGGAAAACTGCAATTATGGATGTTATGCTAAGATTGTAATCAATAAAACTGTGACTCTTCCTCACCAGGGACAGACACCTCACTGGGTGAAATACCCAAGGTTCCTTTAAAAAAAAAAAAAAAAAACAGCCTTCTGGGCAGTAGGTGAAGGGACAGGGAAGGCCAGGGGGTCACTCGAAATATCTAATCCCGTCACCTTTAAAGAGAGTACAAGATACTTGCTGTGGGAACAAAGCTAGACAACCATCAGAATAAGACTGCCCTTCCTGAGCAATGGAAGGTAAAGACTTCTCCCCCCAATGCCGGATAATGGTTTCACCAGAGTAAAACACAGTTTTATGTTCTACTTTGCACCCTCTTCCCTCCAGTGTAACGATGAGAAATCCTTTGAAAACTTTGGCTGTCACCCACTGAAAACCATTAACAGAGGTTTGGCAATGACCACGGATTTTCTGCCATCTACAAATGAGACCCATGTAGCTACAGGACTGAATTTTTCCCCTTGCTTCCCCAGAGACAGATTGGGACACTGAGAGCCCCAGATTAAGAAGGTAATGAAGTCTTGACAGGCTGTCATTTCAAAGTCATGGAAAGCATCTTTGTGTTACAGAAGGGCAGTGGGTGGAAGGAGGAAGGTGGAGTCTGAGATCTGACCAAATCATATGAATACAGGGTAGGATTCCCTGAAAACTGGTGGAGGGACTCAGGATGGACATATAAAGGACGCCGTCTACCAAGAGCCCTGAAGAAAGCGAGATTACTAATATTGATAGAAGATGACCTCCTTGGGGGACTGTGAGAAGTATTATATAGCAGCTCCAGCTTTTCCCCTACTAGGTTGCTCCTGCTTCTAGCTACCTCAATCCACCTTCACCTCAGTCACCTCTACCCCTAGTGCGGCACTGGTGTGAAATATGAAGGGATGGGATGGGAAGGGATGTGTGGCCTCCCCACAGCCAGCCTCACTTGGCAAAGTGTAAGATGTCATCACGTCATCTCGGGGCCTCATTCCGGGAGTTCAAGAGAGTAACCACAGCAAACACAGTTTTGGCCCATAGAGGAAAGAGGAGTGACAGAGACAGGCTCTTGGTGCTGAGGAGGAGGGACAAGCCCAAGACAAAAACCATTTTCTTTCCCACCATCTGGAAAAATATGACTCATGAAAGAGAATGTAGGAGAGGTGGATGCATGGATCACGTACACTCTTGGATCACCCCTTCTCTTATCTGGCTACCCCAAATCAGAGCTTTCCTCGCTGGAACGTTTGACAGCATCTTCCAAGTTATCCATTTTCTAGCCAAAATGTTCAGCCTGAATTCTTCCTAAAACAGTGGCTGTCATCCAGTGGTATAAGGACCAGCAGGTGGAACCCAGAGGAAAGTCTAGAGTTGAAAAAATACTTCTCCAACCAAAACTTTGATATTCTCTTACATTCCCCCGCTCTACTCATTCAATTCACAAATATTTACTTATAATGAAACTGGAATGTAGCAAGTTAAATTTTTTAGAATATTTGTGTTTTTCTTCTGAACTCCTGTGACTTTCCCCCTAGTCAGCCAGAGGCAAGCACATAGCCTTGAGGAGAAGTCAATTTTGGATATTTGTTTTTAATTTCTAAAATTGCCTCTAGAGGCTCTGAAGAGAGGGCCTGAGGGAAGCAAATAAGTTCATGCCATAAAAATAGAACAGGTAAAAGAATAGAGGCATGGAAAAACGTGCAAGGTGGAGATTGAGGCAGGAAAAACGTGGAGGCCCCAGGAAGGAAGAGGTCCCCGTGGACCGTGGAGAGCTACGGTCTCATGGAAACCTAAAGGCCACCTCTCAAGATTTCAGGAACACAGCACAAAAGGTGGAAGAGTCCTATGGAATATTCTTTGTGATGTGGTGAAGTGAGGACCTCCGTTCAGCAGTTGCCTGAGCATCCCGTGAACCCTCTGCAAAAGGACCCGTCACTCTGCCTAAGCTCACCTGAGCTAACTTGCATGAACTACTCTCTCTTCCTGCACAAATCCCAAACAAGCAAAAGCCCTCAACACAGAAAACAAGTGGCCTACAGCCGGGCAGCCGTGGTGGCTTCAAAGTGTAGAAGGAATCCTGGGAACAAGTTGACAGTGGCAGAAGACACATCACAACCTCACTACGCCTGTGCACTGGACACTTTGCTGCAGGGGACCAAAGCAACACTAGATGCAGTTATGGCTCTCAAGGAGGTGTGAGAGGTTAAAAAGGGGGATAGGGAGGTGGGGGAGCACAATAAATAGATGACTATGAAGAACAGAAGGCATGTCGTGTTAGCTGTCAGAACACAGAGGAGAATCTCCTATACCAGAATGTTGCTTCAGCTGAGTCTTGAACAATTAATAGGATTTAACCACAGGGGAAGTGTATTAGTTTCCTACTGGTGCTTCAGGAAATAGCAGCAAATTTAGTGGGTTAAAATAACAAAAATTTATTATTTTACAACCTGGGGGTCAGAAATCTGAAATGGGTCTCCCTAGGCTAAAATCAAGGCATTAGCAGTAGTTTCTGGGGGCTCTAAGGGGAAATCCGTTCATGCTTCTAGAGGCTACAGCATTCCTTGGTCCCACAGCCTTCTTGTCCGTGACCTCACCTGACCTCTGCTTTTCCTTCATCACTTTATCCTCCCTGACTCTGACCCTCCTTCCTATGAGAAACCTTGTGATCACATTGGCCCCATCTGGGTAATCCAAGCTACTCTTTGCATCTTAAAATCCTTGACTTAGTCACATCTGCAAAGTCCCTTTTGCCATGTAAGGTAACATGTTCACAGATTGCAGGAGCCAGGATGAGGATGTACTCGGGGAACTCTTGCCCTGCCTTCCCAGGGAGGGTTCCGGGCAAAGGCAACAGGCCGGGGAAAGCCCAGAGGGCCCAGAGAACAGTGAGTGTGAGCAAAACCCCAAACTTACAGGGCTAACACAAGAGGGAACAAGGCAGGAGTAAAGAGAGGATTCAATGGGATGAGGCAGAGACTAGGTCAGAAAGCACCATATTCCATTTAAGGAACTGGAATTTATGAGGACAGCAATAAGTAGCCATTCGCGAATTTTAAACAGGGCCATTACATCATCAGATTTGCCTTCTAGAAAAATCATTCTAGCTAAAGTAGTACAATGTATAAAAAAAGAAAGAAAAAGAAAGAAAGAAAGAAAGAAAGAAAGAAAGAAAGAAAGAAAGAAAGCAAGCTCAGGGAAGCTGTGAGGTTGAAGGCAAGGAAACAAACTGTTTTTATGAGCCGGGTAAAATTGATTAGCCTGAACTAAGGCATTATATATGTAAAGAGGAGTGGGCAAATTCAAGAGAAATCACAGTGTGCTTACCCACGGGGTGTGGTGATCGAAACTAATGCAGAAGATGGTAGCCAGATTTTTGTGTCCTGTGGCTGCACATATGGGGATGCCTCTCTCAGTGCTTTTTTGCTGAGTTTGAAAATGAAGGAACATGTATCAGACTTCAGATGGACAGAGATAACACATTTCATTCTGACCCCAGTACTCTGATCTTCATTTCTGCCTTTCTGCTTACCTCATTTGCCTGTACCAGGCCCAGTTACTGGGATGATCAGAACGCCCAATAGTCCCCCCAATTCAAAGTGCTACTTACATATTATTTTGACTTCAATCAGTCCAGTATTTTTTTTTTAATCTTATTTCTCCAGATGCTAGAAACTCTCCTGGGAAAATGTGCTTGGTTTAGGGTTGCTATAATTGATTTTTAGTGTGCCACCAAGACCCTCACTTCAAGACTTAGGTGCTCACTCCTGCAGGTATCTGGAGCGTTGCTCGAAGAACTCACAGCTAAGCCCCACTTCAGGAATTGCTATAAACTGAAGGGAAGTGCCTTACCCAAGCTTTACATTCTCTCCATAGGGGCATTCCACTTCCAGTGACTGGTCTACACAAGAGGATAAAGGTCCAGCATCTGGCTTCAATTTGAGATTTAATATGTATCTAACAAGTTATACTAGCTTTCCACCCCCTACGGAGTCTACTAAGGGCTCTCTTGCAGCTGAGTCTTAAGTTCAACTTCTCCTGCTGCCAGCCCTATTTTCCATACCTCCTTAGAGGGCATCCAGCACTCTTGCTACAGTGTCTCTCCCTCATCTCACCCCTCTGACTGCTTGGGAAGTAGGGTGTCCCCTGAGGGCCAGCTGCTGGAATATCATGGATGATTTAGCGTAGTATGGAGTCACAAAACAAAACGATCTACCACTTACCTTTCAGAGGGGTCCTGAAAGATATCATTGAGGAAATTCTCCCAATGGAGCTAGTCATCTACTTTGTATGAAAAAAAAAAAAAAAAGAAGTGGCCTGAGGCAAGTATATTACCCAAAGGAGCACATGGCTTGGCTGGTTGGTTGGAGCCTGGAAGGAAAAAGACTGTTTTAGTCTTTTCAGTCTGTCCAGATAGGGACAAAGAGGCAAAGAGATATGTGGATATAGGATCAGGTACAAAGTCTAAGGGTCTTTGGATCCTGTGTTAATGGCTACCAGAGATGACCCACCCCAGACGAGGCACAAATCGACAAAATAGACGAGATGACTTGAGTGGTGGATATTACACAGCCTGTGCTATTTGCCACTGCCAAAGCTGGAACAGTATTTATACGAGTAGCCACATTGGCAAGGATGAAGGATATAATGGTCCAAACAGCATGGACTCCCCACTCACCAAGTTTTATCTAGTTACTCTGCTCCTGAGTGGACAATCTGCCACTAATAAAGAACACAACCAAGCCCCGCTATGGCATCCTCTCTTGGAGAAATAAAACATCACATGGTGGCAAGTCAGTTACACTGGACCTCTCCACGCTGGAACAGGTGGTATAATACAGTTAACCTAATGGACCTCTTTCATCCTGGAAGAGTCATCCCAACTTAAGAGTTCCACGTGAGGTTGCCTGAGGGCTCTGTTACAACTTCGTTGCAATTCAACTTCTCTGTCTACACAGTTCAGCTACACTCTTCCCCTTAAAAGTGTCACTCCCAAGACCACTCCCAATATACCATCATCTGCACACACATCTCCAACTAAAAAAATGTTAAGTGTCCTCAAGGGACTGTGTCATATCAAGAGTTCAGTGTTGGTCTCTGTTGTTGGCAGCAATTCATCTTGCCTGGAATTGATTGAAGTAGAATGCTTCCCTGAGGAGAGAGCAAGATTCCTACCATATTTTAAGCCACCACCCAGTCACTTTGGGTTACTTGAGGCAAGTGATAAGCAAATAAGGAAAGGAGTCACTTTCCTCAGAGTCATTTATTTGAAAATAAATGGGCAAGTATACCAGCAATGACCCCAGCAGGGCATGGTGACCATGCTAGAGTTAAGATCTGAGTCAACCCACCACGCAAACCCCTTAGAATAGCAGAGCTATCTGCTGAAGCTAAGAGAAATCTAGAAGGGGTAGTAGAGAAGGGAGATAATATCAGCTGCAGCCCCAAGGCTGTGGTGCTGGCTGTAGTTTATCTTATGCATCTTACTGTAGTAAGTTTCCCCAGGAAAAGAGATCAACTGGAATCCTAGAGGAGTCCTTGTGAGGTAGGATCTACCTATTATGCAAGGCAAATGGATCTGAGTAGCACAGATGGTGGACTCTAGCAACCACTTTCACAACCGAGCCACTCATTTCCTTGCTGCTGGTTGTACTGTCTGATAACAGCCCACAGTTGAGTCCCTCCTCGGGGTCTGCCCCCAGCTGCAGGAAGCTGCTTCACCCATGGTTACACACACACACACACACACACACACACACACACACACACACTGACTCACTGATCAACGAGCAGGTAAAAAAGTGGGATCGCTTGCCTCAGTCCAAGACATCTCAAAGGAGTCATCCTGACTTAATAGCTCCACGTGAGGTTGCCTGAGGGCTCTGTTACAGCTTCGTTGCAATTCAACTTCTCCGTCTACACAGTTCAGCTTCACCCTTCCTCTTAAAAGTGTCATTCCCAAGACCACTCCCAATACACCATCTGCGCCCACATCTTCGTTGCAGAAACAGCTTCCCATTGAACCTGAATTATAATAATTGGCTTCTTTTTTGGTTTGGGGCCCAGTTCAATCTATTATAAAATCTTCTGTACATTTACAGCACTATGTAAACAAAAGCTCTGGTATCCCCAGTTACATAAGTCTGAAAACCTCATATTTGTGGTGTTGTAAACAAGACCATGTCACTGAACCTTGTGGTTCGTTATTCTAAATAGGTAACAAGTTATAATACACCGGCAAGAACTCCAAAGAATGTGGTATACTCTGTCTGGATCAGAATCTAACATGTTTTAGAAACAATTTATGATGTATCATGTACTCTTGAGAATGAATATTTGCCAGAATAGAATCTGTTATATTTTTGCCCATCATTTTTTAGTTATCTTGGATTCAGTACTTGGAATGCCCTTTGTTCTGCAGACTGTAGCTCAAATACCATAATTACAGAAAGAAATCTTGCCTTCTGTAATTTCCTACTAGTATATTATAAACATTTCTTAAAATATATCTTTAAAATGTGTCTTACCATATAATGCCCCCTCAATACAGAACAGTACTCCTCACTGAACTATTATTAAAGACAAAAATTCAGAGATCAGACATGATGGTTTTCCAGGATCAACTTGCTACATAATTCTGAGTCTCGATAACCTTAGTCTCTTCATTTTAAATATCACACATTTTCAAAAGTGACATAAAACTAATATTTTTATATTATCAGCTTGCTCTATGTTGTTTCTTTGACTAATGGTATCTCTATTTAAAAGTGTCATGGGCTTTTCTCAAGACTATCATGGTCAAAACGGAAGACCTGACTTCTCCCTGCTGCCAAAAAAGTTATGCTTTCTCAATTTCAGAAAGTAGCATCAACCCACCTTGTTGATTAAGTCAGATTGTACTTGCTTCTTTTTTCCCCTCTCCAGAAACAGTCCATAATCAAGTTCCAACACTTCTATCTCCAGAACATTCTGAATCTGTCCAGTGCTACCTGTCATCACTGCTCTCATACTTGTCAAGCTACCATCATCTCTATCATCCAGTAACCTCTAAACTGGCCTCCCCACCTTTATTTCCTGAACCTTTTAGGACAGACATAACTATCAAAAAAGTGTTTTCTAATGTAAAGCAAAACACACTTGTGATGCTGTTTGTTCCCCCAAAGTTCCCCCACTGATCACAGAATAAAATAAAAATTATTTACCTTAGCCTACAAGCCACTCTACCATCGCTATCCTTCCTACCATTCTGAGCTCATATCATATCATCTCCTCCTCAGTCTCCAGCTCCAGACTCTTTGGCTTTAGTTGTCGTTGTAACTGTTGTTCAAATACATCAGTTTCCTCTCCACCTTGGAATCCTGCTCTGTTTTCCTGAAATACTCTGCCCCATGGTTACTTGTTGCTTGCTGCATCTCATCTTCAGGATCTTAGCTCAACCATAACCTTCCCAGAGGTTTCCTTGACCAAAGTAGACTGCTTCTCTTCCCAGACACTTGTTAATGGATGATTCTGTTTTATAGTTTGTGGCCTTATCACTGTTTTTTTATTTTAATTTTATATTGAATGTTTCTCCCATACTATTTTATAAAAACAGGGACCTTATAGAATCTTTGAATATTTATACCATATTTCGACAGTAATTGGTGCTCCACAGATAATTGCTTAACAAATGTACAAATGATATGAATAAACAATAAAATATATTTTTTATTTTTGCATACTTATTCATATATGTATGAATATTTTTATATTACTCTATGTATTTTAGTTATATATAAAATAGTATAACTAGGGATGTCTAGGTGGCTCAGTGGTTGAACGTCTCCCTTTGGCTCAGGTTGTGATCCTGGGGTCCCGGGATCAAGTCCCACATTGGGCTCCGCACAAGGAGCCTGCTTCTCCCTCTGCCTGTGTCTCTGCCTCTCTTTCTCTGTGTCTCTCATGAATAAATAATTTTTTAAAAAATCTTTAAAAAAATAGAATAATATAATTATATATCTAACATTTATAATATAGAGTTATATTTTATAAGTAGCTATACATAAATATATTTAATGTTATACTATATTGTCATATTATTATTATGTATCTGTATTATATGTATTACATATATCTTTTATATCTTTTATAATTAGTTATATACAGATATAATACATTATATTTTTAAAATAACATACGTAGATATATATGTATCTCAGTATATAGGGCAAGCAGTTTAATCTCAGAGAGAAAATGAGCTTTAGAGCTAATAAAATATCCATTAAATTACAGGTGTATCCATCAAAAGTACTAATTACATACTTTTATGTTGTTTTCTTGTAATGGCAAGGGATGATGCTCCAAACAATATTTTCCAAATTCTAAGACAAGTATATTTTCTCATATTTTAAGTTTCTATACATATTATAATCCATGGGTTTGCTTAACGAAATAAGGTTTCTTTTACTCCTAATATTAAAGTAGTGGCGTACCTTTTCATTGGTCATATCTTAGAATTAAGGGAATAGTAATAGAGTTTAGTAAATATTGTTGACTCAAGTGCAGGAATGAAGCCCCTACTTTATAAATAACTGGCCACACACATGGTATAAATAACCAGAATCATGGTAGATTCAGTGATCACAGAACAGCCTTCTCTTGTGTTGATCTAACTAATTCTGACAGGAAGATGGGGAACTGAACCCCTGACTATGATCTCATTAAGGCCAAGCTCCAGCCAACCAATTTAAATGATCCCTGGGTCAGAAAGTGAAAAATAAATGTGAATGCAACTTCAATATTACAAATGAAATCTCACTAAATTGTAAAGAAAATTAAGACTTTCAAACAGTAGTTGCTTTCTTCTGTGAATGTTTGCCATAACCTTATCAGTGTCTGTGAGATTTTCCATATATACATCATTTATTTTGTTTTATTTTTTTTTTAAGTGAGAGAAGCCAATGGTACTTAATTTTCATATTTAGGCAATGTTAACACCTAAGGAGTGTAGAGTGAATTCACATTCACACCTCTTCTGCTGCTATTAGTCAGGTGAAGAACATTTTTTTAAGCAGTGAGATTTAATTTCTCATATTCTTCTTACCTGTGATCTGAGCACACCTCAACCCCTAAAAAATAAATCAAAGTACCTTGGTGTCCTGGGAAGAAATCAGAAATAGAATTCTTTATTTCTCTTATCCCCATCATTCTGAGTGGCCAGTAGGAAACAGGAACAGGTAAGTCTTTCAGATGAACATAGAATAGAAACAAACTCCATATGTATCAATCACTCTTACAACACATACATTCCCTATCCCTTAGGAGAGTAACTGGGTTTTGCTCTTTATTGGTGTCATCATCCCGAAACACTGATTTGATGGAAATG